AACTAATACGTATCGAGAGAGAGAGAGAGAGAGAGAGAGAGAGAGAGAGAGACGCGGAAAAAGAGGATTCCCCTGAACGCGTCGAAAGGAAAGGTAGTAACGCGGAGAAGAGACTGATGGATCGAGGGAAGAAAAAGAAAAGAGAAGAGAAGGACAAAGAGAAGAGGAGGAAGATGGAGAGCGGAGTTCCCCGAATCCCTCGTCCATCGGTAAGAATTTCAACCATCTGGCTCGTTCTATCGACGCTTCGACAATGTTGTGTCCTCTCGTACGCAACGAGCGCCTTGCACTCCCCACGAGGTCGCGGATAGTAATAAAAACAAAAACCTTCTGGCGTGTATAATCGCGTGTATACACAAACAGAAATGAACACAAAGGAGAAATTGTACGTTGAATTGTACATAAAACAGGCGTAAGACCGGTTTTTCTTCTCCCTAACGTACATAAAATATATATTTTCTTACGCATAGGTATTTTTTTTACGAGGCGGTAACTCTCTGCCTCGATCCCTCCGACTCGAATCGAAGCCTTGAATCGGTCCAAAAACGGAATATCCGTGGCTCACTCCGGTTTAAGAACGAAAGTGGCATCGATTCTCCCTCTCCCCGATCTCTTGAATGAATCGAGTCTCAACCATGGCACAGATACGACGCACTTACTCAGCGTGCCGCACGTGCCTGTTGTGCATACGTAATGCGTATTGACACGTCGAGTGACAGCACGCGGACCAAGTCACGCTCGTCGAATCGATACACGGGATCGGGAACGCAAGGGAGGGATTTCCAATACGCGATCGCAAGTATGGGAAAAATTTCGCGTCGAATCGGAATAACGCGATAAATAACGCGAGCGAAACAAGAGATAGATAAGAAGGAAGAGAATGATCGTTTTCACACTCACCGGCAATGGCGACGAACAGGAAGAATATCCACATATCCATGAACATGCCGGCGAGGCGTAGCCGCAAGTTGGTCGTGGTCGTGTACTCGAGCTTGTCCATCACGCTCCAGGATTCATAGTTGTTGGTGTCGTTGAGATTCGGGTGGTGCGCGGTACGAGATTCTCGATTCACCCTCGACCTCGTTGCAATCGAGTCGAATAACACAGAATAACACACTGTCCGCGTAATTTCAACGATTCGGGAAAGAACACTAGCGGGAAAGTTGATGGAAGGGAGCCGTGTGTGCGTGTGTGTGCGTGTGCGTGTGTGTGTGTGTCACCAGCGCGGAACGTGTGTCCTGACACACTCGTGTCCTTCCTTTACGAACCGTGGACGAAGCAAGCTCGTGGCATCGTTGCAGCGAAGGAGCGCGGCCGTTTCGAGGCGAGAGGAACGCTGGCCAACCAGGCACAGGCGTGTTGGATATGCGTTATAACGAACGAAGGACGGGATGGGATGCGTTCGGCTGCCACGCGTGTCCTCCTCTCTGCGTGCCTCTCTGTGTTACGCTTGTGTGTGCGCACGTATCATCAGCGTCCGTTTGGCGAGGTAGATCACGGCGAGAATAGATCGGACGGCCGGTCGTCCGGCTGGCGTCCCTTCCGGGCCACGCTCGCAACCAAGATCACGCGTTCGAATTATCGGTGGAAGACGACACGAATCTCCGACGACGTAGCGCGAGGAGAGAGGAGAGAGAGAGAGAGAGAGTAGTCGCCGCTTCCGAGTGACGGCGTGCACGAGTACGGGGCGACCGTGGTCGTGTGCTCTCGCCACCGCGTTGCCCGGAGTATTGACCGACTCGGCTCGGCTCGGCTCGGCTCGACACACGGTGCGCCGCTCTGCGGCCCAGACCAGACGAGGAGAGATGCGGAGGGGGCGCCTGCCCTCTCACGACTACCGTACGACTGATCCTAGCGTGGCTGCGCGCGCATTTCGGCTCGTACGCGAGCGGCTCCGTCCAACGAGCTATACCTACGCTTCGTGCCGATTCGACGGGGGCCTTGGACTTCTTTTCTCTCCTTTTCTTTCCTCCTCCTTTTTTTTTCTTTCTCTCTTGTTTTTTACCCTTTTTTTCACCCTCCTCTCCGAGACCTGTCGTATTTCTTCGGCAACGCGCCGCGTTCCACGAGTAAACAAACGATCCGACTCGCTCGTTTCGCGTACGACTCCCCGATTCTTTTTCCGCTCTCTTCGAAGCTACGCACAGGAATCGTGCCACGATCGGATACTACCCATTTCTCTTGATCGGTTAACAAAGATATCGCGAAACGGATTGAATCGTTCGCATCACTTCGCGGTGCACTGCGACGCACTTCGTAATCGTTCTAATCGCGGAAACGTTTTATCGTCTTCGATAAAAGCATTCTTCGTAAAAATGCATCCGTCTTGTCTTATCGGATGGATAATAAGAATGGACACGATATAATTATTGCAGACGAAGAGGTGGAACGTAAAGTAAACATGATGTAACGCGTGAAACTTGATTACCAGCTCTAAAAGATTCCATTGATAACTCATTATCAATCAATGGCCGACAGAGAAGTACCGTTCGTGCGAAAAGAAGAAAGAGATTCGTGATGCAACGCGAAGTCGCGCCAATACTTCCATCAACTTCCATCTCCCGTGTAATAAAAATGCATTCCTCTTTCCAAACTTACGGCGAGAGGAGTAACGATAAAACAATGAAATCACAATGAATTCAAATATTTAACCGAATGATAAACGAAATCTCGGCCATGAGATCGAAAGTCCAAACGTCGTAAAACGTCTTCAAACTTATACTGCCCGAATAGCGTGCTTTACGATACGATACTACCGTACGTTTTTTACCGAAATAATCTTAGGTTGCGGGGACACGCTCGCTTCGAGAATACGAGAGATATGAGCGGGGAAGGAACGGTCCTCGAACGGTTGACATAGGGTAATTCAACGTTACCGTATCCTAAACGTATCTGTCGCTAGTTTTATTCGACGATCGATACTCGATACCGTGGCTCGTCTACCGTGGAGAGTAGATTCGATCTGAGAGAACAGCTCGACGCCTTCCGCGCTTAAGAATCTCCAGATCCCCAAGTCGGATAAGATAGATCGGGATCGGGCAGGTTGTAGCGGGACGAAGAACTCGGGTGGAACGTTCAACCCCGACACGAACTTTCCTCGTCGTAGTATCCCGGGATAGTGGATAGAGATTCGAGGCCAAAAAGGGCGGCCACAAAGGAACGATCGTTTCCGATTTTATCTCGGCGAAACTATCGAGCCGTGAGTCCCTGCCCCCGCGACAATGGCGTCGAGTCGTGGTTACTCGCACGCGACCCAACCGAGCCAACAACCTAACGACCAGGGCCTCGAAACGCCCAGCGGGGTGCTTTTGTTTAACCGAGGCGTTTATTAATCAATCGCATATCCCCCCCGGCACATTGCACATTTGACGGTCAAATGCTTTTTTCGCCGCCTCTCAATGGTGAGGCGCATCCTTTGATCTGTGTGAGGAGGGAACGTCTTGTAATGAGCAGCCCGTAAATTCGAACGGACGTAATACGTACGCTGTTACAATGTAATTTGCCGTGCGCGACCAATGAAACGAGACAGGGTAGCTAGAGTACCGTGCTTCCAATTACACCGAGTCCCGCCATGTTATCCTTAACTCGTTACGCTCGTTCTGCTCTCCGATCGAACGAGTTTCTTCCCGAGATCCCCTACAATTCTTCTACTTCCCTACGTACAACGATGCCTATAATTCTTCAAATTCTTTTGTCGTGAAAAGAGCAAGATCAAATCAAGTAGGTGATAATTTTTAATAAGATGTTTTTGGAAATACGATCGTCGTGTGCGTGTACGATCGATGCAACGATTCGACGGCCGTATTGATTATAAAATTTATAATTTAACGCGCCGTATCGATAAGTCGACTCGATTCGTGATACGCCTCGAGTTTATGACACGTGGAATAATTGCGTGTACGAAATTAAAGCGTCAATTATGAATGCGACCGCGATATCAAAGGAAAACGAACGAAATGATTATAAATTACTCTCTATGATCTCATGGTTGCGCAATGCGGGCACACGCACGTTACTATATTTAACGGAATAACTATACGCGCTCGGAATATTATCATTGAAACATAAAAGTTAACGGTTGCCCGCGATCCTCGGCGAGGGTGAGGATTGGAAACGGATTAATCGGCGATAATTGAGGCAATTCAACGGCGGTACGAGTATTTTTGAAAGCGTTCGATGAGAGACGATGTCGTTCCAAAAGCAAATCTCTTATACACTGATTATACACTGGACGAGAATAATTCGAGGTATTAATTAAATCGAACAGAATTCGAACTTGGAATAACTACGCGGGACCAATATTGCTATCGTCGTCCTCGTTCGCGAATAATTAAACTTTTTCTCTCTCTCTCTCTCTCTCTCTTTCTCATCGCCCTCGTCTCTTCTAGTAATAATCCCGAGCTACGTATCGCTATGCTCGATACATTCCTGTTTGATTTCAGGTCGTAAAATTGATTGGAAATTTTGGAGACCAGACGATTCTTTTTTATTTCTTTCTCTTTTTTTTTTCCTTTTTTTTCTTTTTCTTTTTGTAAATATGTGTCCATAATTTATTATCAATTGTGTACTCCATACAGTGACCTGCACAAGTAGCGACACGCACATTTTATTACACACACACACACACACACACACATTCACGCGCGTACGTCCAACAAAAAAAATATACATACGCCCACATCGCGTATACGCATAGAGAGAAGTGAATTATCATTACATATACATATACGTATAACACATGCACGCGTATGTAGCATACATACATATTTGTTTTTTTCTTTTACATATACAATGTATATATATGCCAGCATCTCTCGTATATAACTATCATTGGGGAGGAATTTTCGTTCTTCATTTTGTTCTTCATTCTTCAAAATATATATACATATATGTATAATATGTATATATTTTCGTCACTATCTATAGAACAAGAACGGTGGAGACGATCGTACTCCATCTCAAACTTATATTAACTCTCTTATTATGCGTAGTTCATTGTTTTCTGTGCGTCATTATATGATCTTTTTTTTTTTTTTTGTTCTTTCTATTAAAAAAATTAACGACAATAGCTATACTGTATGTGCGGTATTCGAATGTGTTAATAGATAACTAGTCAATACTGGGAGAAAACGAGAACGAAGTCAGAGATTCGCTGCTCAAATATTCGCTGAATGAATCACGTTGATCGTTTCTCCTTGTAACGAAGTTTCGTCAATGTATCTTATTTCGATTCGGCCCCCTCGAAATTCATTCAAATTTAAAATCCTCGCCTCCTAGATTGGCAGATGAAAGAAAGACGTATTTTATTTATAATTCCAACTGACTTCGATGACTCGCACAACCACAGCGTTCAACTATATACTTTGCGTCTTCTCCACTCGGTATCACAATGATTCAACGTATTGACTATTTCATTTAGATTAATCTTCTTCTTTGCCTTCCCTTCTTTTTAAACGTTCTAAAAGTTTGTCGCAATGAACGCCACGAGCGTTCGCGATTTCCCTTCTCCAACGTCGATACGATGCGTCTCGATCGTCGTATAATTTTCGTCGTTGAACTACTCGTTGAAGTATTCGATTCAATATATGCGATATATGCGTGTGTATCGTCTCTATTTGTGTCGTACATATTGCATATGTAACCACAGAGATGAGCCTCTATTTTTTTGCACAAACCTCTCTCATGGACGGCGATAAAAAACGTAGCGCTTTTGTTTACAGATTACATATTACAACATACGAGGAACGCTAAATCCTGAGTGTCTAAAAATTTTCTCACAATATCCACGTATATTATACATTTCTCTCTCACTCTCTCTCTCTCTCGTTTTCTTATTATCCCCAATAATGATCGCTGTTATAATCATTTCTTAATCCTTAACGCGTAATAGTATAATTCATTCGTAAAAAAAAAAAAACAAAAAAACAAAAAACAAAAAAAAAAAAACAAGTTCACAACGGAACGAAACAACGACTTTACATCCATCCGAGGCCACTGGGGCATCGTTCGATTAATAATTTTAATTGGATCTACGCAGAAACGTTCTTTTGTAATATCATTATTACAAACGTAGAAATTTCCAATTGATCGGGTGAAATGGATGGTCCACGTTTATTCGCGAGGCAACATTCTACTATCGAATGAACGGGCTTTAAATGAAGCAGCGCGATTTGTTTCACCTTGCGAGAGAAATGTGTACATGTAACCCGTATTAATATCGCGCGGACAATACATCCGCGCGCGATGCAGAAATCAATTCGGTTTGCCCACACGTTCGCTGAATTTCGTGGATGGACAATAATAGTAATGTACGCTAGCGTACAATTTGCAAATTTTATGCAGAACGATATACGATTCGCGAATATCCTCGTACTGAAACTGTAACAACGGAATCATCAAGTTTGTAATGTTCGTAAAAACGTTTCGGCAAAATTTGTACAATTGTTTATTCGTGCAGTGCAATTTTAGACTACGCATTGAGCATACTCCAAATCTAAGAGAATAGATTAGCTGAAATAACATTCTTAATTTATGAACCTCTCATTGGCGAAACGGAACGGAAAGTATCAATAGAGCAAAATAGTCGTCGTTTTCAGTTCTTCTTTTTTTTTTTTTTTTCTATTTTTTTTTCTATTTTTTTTTTTTTCTTTTTTCTTTAATACTTCGTTGCACTTCGACGAATGATATCTATGCAGTTTTTCTTTTTTTCTTTTTAACGAAGAATATTATCAAATCTAAATCTGTCCGACGTTCAACTGGTCATAAAATACAATAATCGCTTTTTTTTTTTGTTATCGTTAAAGAATATCGAAGTGGATTTTCTACGTATGGCAACTAGCCAGATTCCTTCGTTATTCCCCTTCATCGTTTACAATACAAATTATTTTTATCTCAAGGCAAATATGTTTCACTGTTAGAATTAATCGGTGGCGCCAAGATATTTTTGCACATCTTGCGCGTACATACCATTTAATACATATTATTATTCAGTTTCACACCGTTCCTACGTATAAGTAAAGCACTTTGTGCGTACACTAAAATATGATACTGTAATCGAATCTCGATAAGAAACATAAAGATATTTAAGATACTAAGCTATATATCGTAAAAAAAAAAAAAAAAAATGAAACATAGTTTCTTATTAAAAAAAAAAAAATCTAAAGCAATTAATAAACTGCTTTTTCGTCTCCTATTTTCTCAACATATTTCCGTATTCATTACAAACAACGTCATTAACAATAAAGAAATATTCATTGTGTTATGTTGCGAATTATATTTTACGTATAAATTTTACGATCCGTGAATAAATTCTTTCGATGAGAAAGTTAAAACTGCAAACGAATACTTATTATTATGTCCGTATATCAACGGAAAATAATTAAACGAGCCATTCATGTCATAATCTCCTCATTGATAATCTTATAATTTACAGTACGTATTGAGTACGTAAAAGATATAAGACGAATATTATGCACGACAGATTGCAACGTTCGAATCCGTATAAGCACGAAAAATAATTCACTGTTTGATACTTGCATTCACATATAACATTAAATTTCATTTACACACACAATTCCCTTTTCACGTTTAAATACTAAGATAGGCCATGGCATTATTTCTCCAATATACGTAAAAAGGTCTGACATAATTAAAATTCGCACACTGCACTCGCACAATAGAGAAGAAACATTTGGAATCTATAAGATAAAATGAACGAAAAGAAATTGTTGCGACAAATTTTTTTAAAAAAAATTTTACTTATATTTCAAACGCAATATATCGTTCACTGCACATCCTTCTTTGTAATAATATAATAATCTCTCGACTTCCTGGCTAAACTTAACACTTCGAGCAATATTTCTTGCACTCGAACACGATAAATATTTTATATCAGACCTCTGTAAATATGAAAGCCAATAATCTAATAGCAAAGGCAATACTGTCTTACGTTAAATACTTCATTCCTGATTCAAAATATTTATTATTCATTAGGCTCCAAATACCTAATGTATATTTATTGACGAAAGAGAAACTCGTTGTTAATTTAAAGAATAAATTTTTCCGAATATTATTATTTACATCGCTACAAAAAGACGATAACTAAAGATTTATAAAAATAAATAATAATAAAAAATTTTTATACGAATTTAATAGAAAAAAAAATATAATAAGAAAAAGAACAAACCGATTTCGAATATTTCAAGAAAATAATAAACTATCAAGAAATGTATTATTTAAATTATGGAAGAGAGATATAAAAAAAAATCATCTTAATTAAACAAAATAAATAAAGACGCTTGAAGCTATAATTTGTCACTGCTTTAAAAAAGGAGCTGAGTCAATATATGAAACTATTATAGTCATTTCATGACAAGATCTTATTACGTGAAGAAGTAAAAAGATATCTATAGAATTATGCATTGTGCAATAAAAAACGCTCAATTCCATAGTGTTTTTTCGATGGTAAAAAATTGATGTATACGCGCGTACTGAGACGTGGTCTCATATTATCGTGATGATGAACAGTCAATATCTCCGATAAATTTTTTCAATATTTTAAATCTTAAATCGATATTGAATTGATTTTTTAAAAAATCTAGTTTTGTTTCGGAGATACGTAATATTGTTTTTCTTTCGATCGATGCATTTCTTATCGTTACTATTTTGTACACTTATGTTACAAGGGTGGGATTGATGCTTATTAATACTACGAACTCATATATGAATTGACAAAAAAAGAAAAATGTACGAATCATATATACCTATATACGATGGAGGACAGAAGACCCATTTTTTCATTTTCCTTTTTTTTTTTGTTTTTTGGCAGGTGCGTTTCACTTATTATGAAAGAAGTGATGAAAGGTAACGTGTAATCATTACCCAATTCATTTCAACGTTTTCAAGGTTTATAAAAGATTACATTTCCCCGAACGTCTTCGTTTCCTCCGATTTTTTTCCAATTCGGCTGGAGGTTGATTTCTGATAATACGAACGACCTAGAGCAAAATTATTCAAATCCCTTAACTATTTTTATCTACATATATATATATATGTATCACTCTTTTTAATTTTTTACTCCTACCTCATGGAATGCAGCATCTACATTTAATGGCGGGTCTTTGGCAGAAGTTTCAATATAAGGTATACCCAACCGGTGAGCCAACTCCCTTCCCTGTTCCTCTGTAACTTTTCTCAAATGTACCAAATCAACTTTATTGGCTACCAGAAGCATAGGATATACATCTCTATCTTTTACCCTAAGTATTTGGGTATAAAAATTCATGATATTTTCATAAGATTGTTTATCAGTCACAGAGTATACTAATAGAAACCCATCACCCTTGCGCATGTATTGTTCACGCATGGCACTGAATTCTTCTTGACCAGCTGTATCTAACACTGTTAGGTACAAATAAACCTTTGTACACATAAGAATGTGTTATAAAGCTAATACAATGCACTAAGCGTAATCCAAAACTAGCGGATAGTAGAATTAAATGCAATAAAGCAAGTAAATGTTTTTACTTAATGATATGACTTACCATCTAAGATGCACCATTGTTTATCTACCTCTGTATGTTGAATATAACTATCCTCAATGGTAGGATCATAGTCAGTGACAAATAATTTTTGAAAGAATTGTATAGTGAGTGCACTCTTTCCAACACCTCCATCTCCAACCACGACCAATTTGAAGGTCATAAGGTTGTCATTATTAGGGGGTCGTGTCATACCGCCTCTTGTTCTCCCACCCCCTCCCCCACTGCTCTGCTTTCTTCTGCCTATCCTGTCAACTCTTCTAATGTATTCTTAGTAGCGCGTCTGCTCGTGAATTATCAAGTTTCAGTCTATGACTAAGTGCCCCTGAAAGGGTTAACTTACATTAGATCAATGAAATAATCAATCTATTATTTACTTAATATTCGATAGATTCTAACGTGATAGTTCTGTTTACATGAATACGAAAACTAAAAACTAAAAATTTTACAGCAACGAAATGTAACGGGTGTGTCAATTATACTTAATAAGATAAAATTAGACGAGAAGTTTCCAACATCCAACTAGGGATTGGTAGACTATACAACAATAGTTGGATTGTCTCGAAATAATATTATTATATAAAATAAATGATACTCGCCTTACATGATCTGCCACTCCTGTTTCACGTTCTTCCAGCTGTCAGTCTGGGCCACTGTGCGCAACATTCGTATCTATGTGAAAAGTATGTTTGTGTAAGCTTTCAACGTAGTGTCGTATACAATAGGTCTTGTATACTTTTACGACCATGCGCGCAGCATAGGTACTCTAGCGGCATATCTTGCAATTATGCACTACAGGGATGCCAACAATTTTTAAACTAGCATAATATATAAATAGAAATGTAATTTTAAATAAAAAAAATATTGTTATTTCCAAATATAAGATTTTAAGAAATTACTTAATAATTATAAAGATATTTATCTATTATATTATCTACAATATCTATTATCTATTATGTTTATATATTAAATATATACGCATTACAAATAATTTCACTATATTGGCAAACTATATTTTCTTGTATTCTACTTCATTCTATAGCTTAAATGTATATATATATATATATATATATATAATATATAATATATATATAATAAATA